GCCTAATTTTTTTCAAAAAGCTGACTTTTTTGGGAAAATGATTATAAAATCCGAAATTTTGAGTCTATCGAAAAAACCGGAATATATGTCAGAGAAGTGGTCTATGTGCACCTACATACCAAATTTTAGAAGAATCGGTTCAAAAATGTGGGAGTTATTCAAAATTTTATGACGTCACGACACACAAAATTTTTGAAAAATGATTTTTTTTGAAGTTCTAGACCTTGTACGGAAACAAAAATAGCACCATTCGATTCGCCGTGAAAAACTGCATCAGATAGACACCTTTTTAGGCCTTAACAACCAACTTCAAAATTTGACCTCACTTGACCTGACCTTGACCTGACCTCGACCTGAAATTCATCCAGAGGTGGTCCATATCACTTATTGAGTGTGCCTATTGAATTCTATGAGTAAAATGACCCATAAAGCATGTGTCGCACATGCCCTTTTCTATATTTTGTTTTTTGGTGACCTGACCTGACCTGACCTGACCTTGACCTTGACCTCTGAATGATATTGTATGCAACGAATATTGTCTTGGTAGCCTAAGAACACGTTTTGGGCGATCAGTCTCAGTCCATGACTCCATTCTTCGGCAACTACGGTGCAAGGCTAGGCCGATACTGTAGAAACTTGCAATTTGTACCCTTGACCTGACCTTGACCTTGACCTTAAACTTAAAATTAAGTACATGTTTTTAGTTGTTCGTGATGAGAGCTTTCGATTGGCGTTTGAATTTTCCGAATCGGATCATTAGTTCGGGAGATAACAGGGGGGGGGGGGTAAAATTTACCCCCCCCCCAGCCCCGCGCGTTCGGCTGGAGACCCCAGCCCCGCGCGGGTTAACCTGACCCTCGCGAGACCTTGGCACCTATCATAATACATGAGAAAACCATCAGTTCAGAAGACTGAGGAGGACTGGAAAGACTGGGGCGACGTTGACTGAAAGATTGAGTAGGTACATACATACATACCTGCCATATCGACTGTCCGGGTTCAATTGGTCCGTGATCGAACGAGACACCGTGAACTGGAGCCTGGAGGCCGGAGGGGAGCGGTCTGGCCCGGGCATGAGTTCATTGCACTCTGGGTCAGTTCTCCGGGTTCAAATTGCAGGATGCAGGTGCAGGTGCAGGTGCAATGTCTCTCCCTGGTTCCTTGAGACAGGGTGATAGTTTCGGTTGTCTCTGCATAGTGCATGGGAATAATGCACACGATTAGCCGTAAAATCGGCGACTTATAGATAGACGCGGTGACGAATCAATACGTTTCCGTGGCGATGCTTGGAGCGTCCTAAACTTGGTGTCCATGTGCCGCGCTGTGCATTCAAATAAATTATATCGGGAAGGGTGTAAGGGAAGCGCCATGCAACCTCATCAGACTTTATGTTTTACCTACATTTTAGCGCTACGTAGGGCCTATAGGAAGTCCATGGTGCTGAGGAAAAAAGTTACCTTAGCACATCCTCGCTGTTGTTCCCTCCCAGCTGAGGCTCCTCTCACACAGCCGTCGTACCATACGTCTAGCTAGGCACTTATTTGGCTCAAATAGGTAAGTGATGCCAGTCTTCACATTTTTTTCGCATTTAAAATGAGCCGCGCAATATGTGTATAAAATACAAAGTTTAAAAAGAAAGATAAAATACAGATATTCACCGTTCTGCAATAATGGCGGTAGGAAAGCAGCCACACGGGGTCCGCTACCCATAGGTACCTATTATGTTGTTATTCCCACGTTATTCCGAGGCAGGGCTATAGCGTATGCTTATTACGGAGCGAGCGAAGCGAGCGTAGTCTTTCCTTAGATTAACGGAAATTTCTGAGTATGAGCGGCCGGCCGGCCGGCCGTGGTCACGCTTTTGCGAGGCTTATATCTCAGCAACCACTTGACCGATTTACACGCGGTAATTTTTGTAGGGTAGCTTCATTCCTTCTACCAAGTATTGGACTATTCCCGATGCATGTGGGTGACCCCTTATGCACGTGCCACGTGCAAAACGAAGAGGTGTCAGTTTTGTAATTGTTGCAATATCTCGGTAACTACTTGGCCGATTGCGCTGAAAGTTGGCATGTAGGTAGGCACCCACTAGGCACTGCATATTACATGTGCCAGAGTTGGGGTGCTGCTGCACGTGCGCACATGCAGGGGTCGTTTCCAGATCTCGGGAACGGCTGGACCGATTGCGCTCAAATTTGGTACACGGTTGGGGACCGGTTAGTAGGGTGCCGTGCACAAGTCAGTTGGGACCCTTTTTGCACGTGCGCACGTGCAGGGTGCCGCTTCCACATCTCGAGAACGGCTGGGCCGATTGTGCCCAAATTTGGCACATCGCTAGAGACCAGTTAGTAGGGTGCCGTGCACAAGTCAGCTGGAGGTACCCCCTCGCAATTTCGCACGTGCAAGGCCCACCCTCTCGCTCGCTCCGTTAGTCGCCCCAAAAGGCGTTATACTGGTTACTTAGGTATAGGTACATAGGGTGTGCTGTGTGATGTATACCTACCTTCTTGCTGTAACGTCCTTCCATTCACTACACCGTCAATGTGCACTGTAAATTGTAATTCGATCACATTCAATGTGGTTGAGTTCACCATATTTCTAAAGTGGTCAATGCAGACGGTAACACCAATGCATACTACATGCAGCTATCCATCGTCCCAGCGGACATCAATAGCATAAAGCAGCTTCGGTGGTTTCTCAAGGGCTTTCGAATTTCCGCGATATATCTATACCCTAGGCTGGTATGAACCATGACGACCAACCGGTAAGGCAAGGTTAATTACGTTCCTGCATTTTATAACTGGAGCCATTGCCCTATTAAAGTGACCATCCCACCTTAACATTTAGTTTTGAGTTGAGATAGCCAAAATGGAGTCCCTGGCTTGCACTTATCGGTTTGAGCACTCACAAGATCGAGAAATGCCTCAAATCGAAAATAGCTAATTTCAAAGTTGCAGCACTTGGATTCAGAGGGGCTAATGCATTAGAATGCCCCTCTCAATGTGTGACGTCAGCGCAGATCTTACGATTTTAAAATATTTTACTAAAACGTTTGGTACCACGCGGTGATAAATGCTGCTTTGCGCGCAACAAGTGCCGCACTTCAAATTACGTCGCTAGGAACAGCGGACGTCCCAAAAAAGTAAACAAAAGTAAAAGTCTAATATCTTGAAAACCAGTGAATATTTTTCGATGAAATTTGGTAGGTAGATATTCGTTTTCGCTCTTTCTGAACCGAGGAACATCACTTTCGTGCCAATTCATTAACCTTTTTGAAGGTGGGATGGGAGGGTCCCTGGGTCCCTTTAAATTTCCTAAGTCAAACTGATCGGGGCGCCGTTGTGTTTAAAAAGCGTTGTTTGGGGGCCGTGGCCCCGCTCTTCGGAATGTCTTCAAAAACCGGTGACATGTGCGCTCAAGGCCACATACGGACGTGTGAAGAATGATAATGAGCATTCGTCCTCCCCTTTAATAGAGAAAATGACTGTAAATTACCCAGCCGTCTAGGTCTAGGACAGTGTGGCGTATGGCTCCCACGTGTCACCCCCGTCGTCCTTTGGTTTGTAATTAGCTGTTGATGACGTAACACCGGCTGATTATGACGTAACACTGGCTGGTGGTCTGGCGGATGACGCGGAATGGCGGCCGTCTGGTGAACGTCGCCCACGGCGAGGAACGTCCCTGATACGCCGCAGGCGTCCTGCCTGTATATTCACTGTGAATTCACTGTTTAATCACTGGTGAAGCTGCTGGCTGGGGTGTGGAATGTATGGACCGGAAGCCTAGCCCTCGCATGTGTAGGGGGGGTCGGATGGACCCCCCCCCCATGGTTTTTCGCGAATAACTCGCGTAAAAAGCGGCCGATCGCGACGAAACTTTCAGTACCCTCGCCTTGATCAATTTTACACCTACCCTGAAAATTTCATGACCCTGACCCAAATGACCTTTGACCTGTGACCTCTTTTCCGAGACCATGTTTGGCCGGAATCGCGATTTCGCGTATGTCGGCTCGCACTAGCCGCGCGTTTGCAAGCTTTTCGTGGTTTCAAACGTTCAAACATGTGATTTGATGTTACTCCCGTGGGTGTCAAGGTCACCTGAAGGTCAGGTCAGGTCATTGACCTTTGGTGACCTCGGGTGACCTCGGTTCACTTTTTCGAGTTTTACATGTTTCTGGGCTAGTTTTTGGAGCTGAATTCGAATTTAGCAACCATTTGAACATTTACGAAGTAGTTTTGGTGACTTCGTAACATGTTACGAAGCTGTCAGAGGCGGTTGACACGCATTACGAATACCCGTCACAACCCCTACCGGTTGACCTGACCTGACCTGACCCGACCTGGTCTAAATGCTTGAAGACATCATCTCTGATCAAAACTAACACGATATTCGTGATCAGCACCCCGGAAAACCACATAGCAGCCACACTTTACGACTTTCTAACAGGTCCCGATTTTCCCGGTTTTCGGGTCATTGACATTTGACCTGACCTGGAAGGTCACCCGATGACCTAGGACCTTAAAATTGGGTATCATCGGCTTCCTCTCGTGACGGGCAACATGCTCGTTTTTTCTGCGAAGCTCTAGCTCGATCAGGGGCCAAACGGCAAGGGGGGGGGGTCCAACCGACCCCCCCCCCCTACACATTAGAAGCTGGCAAACGCCGCACACATGCGAGGGCTAGAAGGACGGAGGGGATCGCAGGCAATTATGAGCGGGGAGCGAGGAACGGTGCAGTCATTTGTCTCGCAGCCCCACAACAGTCATGAGTCAACTGTTGGCACGTGCCATTGGCCGATCCGAACGAAATCTTTGTGGAGTGAGACGACCCACGGCTTTGGCAGAATGTGCCTGGATTTATCGTGAAGCATTGAAGTGAATGTGTTGAGTTAGCGGTTCTGACGAAACGTATAATAAATAAAGGGAGTCTGTTGTTGACAACCATTCCAACAAATAAAGTTGCCGATGTGATACCATATCGCAGTCGTAGAAATCCAGTGATTATCGATCGAACATTTACTTCAAAAATCTCAGCACACATGGCAGATATGCAGGGTTACAGCGTCATTCAATGAACAATACTTCTTTGGTTCAATCCCACCATTCAGTAGAGCCGCCTAACTAAACACATTAGATCACATTCTGTAACAAATACCATAATTATCCGTAATTGATTAAGCCATCCTGATTCCGCACCCGATACTGATCATACAAAAATCACATCTCCCACATGAAAATACGGACAATTTCGCTACAGCTCACTGAACTTACCGTTTTGCACGGTAAAAACTCGACAGCGATTGTAAACATGACCAAACATTGCCGAGATTTTCTCGGCGACCAGCACACTGACAGGCGTCCATTGCACAGGGCCGCTACACACATGTGGCACTTATAAGGCTTGGCTTCACAACAATGCTGATTGCTCGTACCGACAAGGGCAATATTACACTCAATAACATTACAGCTGCGCGCTTATGCCGGTCCCAGAGACACGCGCAGTTGCCGATAGGGCACCGTTCGGTAGCGTCCCATTGGCAGCCTGTGCAGCTGCCCTAACCCTGTCCGTCTTTGTCGGTCTTTCTTCATGACACCGGTTCGCGTTGTTATATGACAACAGCAGACGCATTATTGTAAGTGCGTTACGCTGCCGATCTCGGCGTCCAGCCTACTCTGCAAGACTCCATGAATCACAACTGACTACTGGAAACCGAAATAATCAGAGAATTACACTCACAAATCAGTGTCTTCGATATCACGTTACATCATTACACCACACGGCTCGGGAACGTCTCACGTGGGCAGCTTCAGCCGATATCACAAAATTCCTAATACAAAACGCACTAATCGATTTCACAAAACAACCAACGCCGAAACCGACCTACTATTGTGGCCTCATCTGAGCGCCGCCACACGGGGCACTCCTTGCGCCGGCGCGCCCCGTTGGACCCTGCTGAGTCTGATTGCCGCTAAGGCCGATCAGGAGAGGTTGCACTGTTTTCGTCGACCAAACATTCGCTCCAGCTCCAGCTTTTCTGCGCTGAGGATGAAGCGGCGCTGCTTCGACACCAGCGTGTCCCGCCACTTGTCAGGCCTGCGGCGGACCGAGAGCGGGCGTTATTTGGCATGTAGCGGTCAGCGGAGGCTGCGTCAGCGTTATATCAGGTGAAAGACATTTAGCCACCTGATGCCACTTGAAATATGGCTAAACCTGTAAACTCATTTTAGTCCATTTTCTTCTAACTTATGCTAAACACTTTTTAACTAGGTACTACGTAGCTGTAACGCACCCACGAATGTCAAACGTAACGGCGCCCGTCGTACGATGATAATTCTGCCGTGCAAAGGCAAAAACCATTATGTCGGGTCAGAGGCCATTACATCAGGTCAGAGGTCACCCGAACATATTGGGTTTTGCCTTTATTCGGCAGAATTACTACGGTGTACCCTGTATCATAATTACGCCGCGTGACTATAGCTGCGCAAAATGCCCGTGCAATGAGCAATGGACAGCAGCAACAGCCACTTCCTGCGCCACAAGTATAAACGGGTGATGAGTAAGGAGTAAGAAGTCTAAAACTCTGCCTATTCTGAGTAACACCAAAGTAGATACTTACTTGTACTTTTTGATACCGGGCTTGTGAACCAGGAATGCGTTGTTTAGTATCATGAAGTCGTAGTCTTGTATGCATAACGTATAACCCTGAAAAAGAGGAATTGTTTGATCATTATTCCAGTCCCCAACAGCTGGCCAGAGTGCCGTTATATTCGTTTTAATCATCGTAGCTAACCATTTATTAGCTGCACAGTGCACCATCAGAAGTTTTTGCCCTTTTTGTTATCTTTGCTATGCGTACACATGATTTTACAATGAATGCACCTACGCTCTTCTTCCTTGAGCAATGCTTGGTTTCTTACATTTAATATTTACCAATGTTCATCACTCAAGCACATGAAGTGTCTGAGCCAGTGTATGTACAGTCTAACACTGCACAGCATTCTTCCCTTCAACGCATGGCGAACACGCTTGGTAGCGGCCGGTGCAGTGGCACCCGACCCGTCAGCCAGCAAACGTCCCCCTTCCCGGGCTTCGTGAACCCCTGTGCCGCCTAATGACTATGACTATGACTATGCCATCAGTGACCAGCCGTATATCGATCGCCGCCAGCGATAGGTCTCAGAACTCGCGGAATCGATGACATAAGTGCCGTACATACGTGGCCACGTAAGGCATAATGCTTTATCGATACGTTAAAGGGTTCAGTTGAGCTCGCCTAGTAGGGAGTACGATGACCATGAAGAAGCGTTCGATTCTAGCTCGCAAAGATAGACCTATTGCTTCTGGAAGTAGCGAGGTTCCATGTTAGAACGATTAGCCCGGCTAAAAGAGAAGAAACATAGAATATGCACCGTGCAGGTGGGTGTCTTGCCACAAGGGGCAGAACATGCTAAATTTATTTGTGGGTATTTGAATTGCGTTTGCTTTGTCACTCTTGCTACCGATGTCGTTCTCTCGGGCATATGCTCTTTCATCTTCTCACTCTCTCGCTTACATAGGCATGCGCTTCCTCGCTCACATTCTCGCTCCCTCTCTCCCTCCTTCCCCTCTCTCTCTCTCTCTCGCCTTCTCCACCCCCCTCTCTCTCTTTCCAGTCTCTCTCTCTCTCTCTCTCTCTCTCTCTCTCTCTCTCTCTCTCTCTCTCTCTCTCTCTCTCTCTCTCTCTCTCTCTCTCCCTCTCCCTCTCCCTCCCTCCCTCCCTCCCTCCCTCGCCTATCACCAGCCACCTTCGTCACACAGCAAAAACAGCCACATCGTCCCTTTCCCATATAAAAACGGCAAGGGGCCGGACTGTGCTGGCGTTGAAATAACAGATCCGCCGGACCACCACTGCGGTGGCTCGCCTATTGTTACTTTGGTCGATCTCCCTACCAATTTGGTGTTGGCTTTCTCGACTGGTAATAACCAAACAGTGGGCCAGCAATGGTGCTCCGTCCTTACCACGCACCATTCATATGAAAAGACCACGGCTCGGTTGGACGGTGCAATGCCGGTACAGTTCACATAGCCTTCGAGACACGGTTTCCGAAAATATGACTACAACGTCCACCGAATGAGGAAGTGGGGTCCATACAATGCAAACACGATGATACATTATGATGGCAAAGCATTCAAACCTCCCTAGCAAAGACAGTCTTACCTGTCCCATCTTATCCATCTTGCCTTCCCAGGTGAGGCGTTCGTCATAGGCGGGCTCCTGGTTGGTACATATGTAGATGGGCTCCCACTTCTCGAACGGCGGGTGCCGCTTTCCCACGTGGAACACGTCCATCTGCTGCGTCTCCTTGGAGAAGGTCCACTCCTTGGCCTTCGGTATCCGGTGGCACGTGGGACACATGTACTTGTGGAACGGGATGGCGGTGCCGTTCTTCAGCATGCCCGTCAGCTGGTCCTTGTGTAGTGGAGGCGTGTGGTTGGCGGCCACCTCGAAGATGCTGAGCACGTAGACGCGCGGCTGAGGCCGGCACAGAACCGGCGCGTTGCGGCGCACCATGTCTATGAACTGTTCGGCCAGACCCTCGCTCGGGTACAGCTCTACGTCCGAGGGCAGCACATAGTGAGTCATCACCGTCTCGCGCGCCACATTGCGCAGCACATTCACCGGGTACGTCAGGTGCTTGGCCTTGCGGTACGACTCCTTTGCCACCCAGGGCGGCGGCTTGGAGCAGTCCGGCTGCCGCTGCAGCAGCTGCGTCGCGTTTGTCACGTTCAGCGGCACCTTGTCCACGTCAAAGACCACGTGGAAAGTGACTAGTTCTCTGGCGAGCGGGTCAGCACAGAAGCGCAGGTACGACAGGGCCTCGACGGAAGGTATAAAGTCATCGGCAGGAGCGTACAGCGCGAACGACACGGGAGCGCGCCAGCGGAGCACCAGGGGCACTATGTTGTCTAAGAAGGTGAAGTCTCCGTGGGTGGTATACGTCACCGTCTCGTTGCACGCCACGCGACGCTCGCCGATCACGAAGTTGTACAATACCCAGTACTTAGTGCCCCGCATCACATAGTGCGCTCGTGGCACCACGTCGCTGCATTGTCTCAGTTGGCTCAAGGCACAGTGCGGGTCGATCTGCGCCGCTGTCTGGGGAGGCGCGGCTTCCGTCGTCTCCGCCGCCGCCGCTGGGGTTGTGGTCGGTCTGGTTTCCAGTACGGTCCTGGCCACGGGCGCGGCCTGGGCGGTCGGCTCCGGAACAAACCCGACCACCGTCGACTGGTGCATGTACCAGACGCCGTAGGAGAAGAGCAGGCACGCGTTCAGCACCAGGCTGAAGCGGAGGAGGCTGGCGCTGGGTCGCATGGCGGCGGCGATCCGCGGCTGTGCGCGCCGGCCGGACCCCACGGCTTCACCTGCGGGTCACGGCGCCACGGTCAATGGCTGTTGGCTATGAATGGCTGTGTCAACGCTGACACAGGCGGGGGGACTGGACAGGAGGGTCGAGACGGGCTGATCGATCGCCGCGGCAGGATCGGGAAGGAAGCTAGTCCCGCTGTCGCCGCTGGGCGACCACTGACGGCACCAAGTCCTACGATCAGCGGAGGAACGGATGTAGCAGGTGCGCACTCCTGTCCCCACAGGCAGTGTAGGGACCTCCACCCCCACCCCCGTCAGCCAGCCTCCGCCCGTCGCACCCACACCCAGCACACTTACTTACTCGTACCCTCACCCAGTGTGGCACCAACGGAAGTCGAGTACCTCATTAGAGCGTTTATAACGGGCGGACACGGAACAAGGTATACGCAGCATGGTATGAGTCAAAATGCAGCGACAAAATTTGTGCATGACAAGTTAGTAGTTAGGTGTATTTATACAAACGATAAAGGAATGATACCAATAGTTCATGTCTCCTTTCAGTTGTCCGATGTCCACTCTCAATTCTGTCGCGTCGCTAACGTCGGCTGTTGAACGTTTGCGGCGCAGCTGATCACGCTCCAGTCTCGCAAGGGAACATCGGAAGGCAAGTTGGCCTCATGATGGTGTGTTTACATTAAAATGGTCTACGTAGGCGTAACATCGCAGCCTGTATTCAATGGTGCATTATGTCGGGCACAGAGTCCGGGTCCGTGTGCTGCTCCGGATATTGAACTCCTATTATTGCGCATGGTGCCTGTTGGTGCCTTTTATACAGCACGAACCACGTATTTTGCTGCTATGAACGGGGCATTCTACCTACTCTACCTCTACTAGCTTCACCCCCACTGTAAGTGGCGCTGCATAAGTTTACTAACATCACCATCATACGGACTACGGTCCATGGCCAGTTAGTTATATAGCAATTCGCTGTAGGCGCAGTGATTCACTATACACTATACAGTGATTCGCGCTTAACCCTCGCCGGCACAGGGGGGGGGGGTTGATGCAACCCCCCTAAGGTTTTTCGCGAATAACTCGCGTAAAAAGCGGCCGATCGCAAAGAAACCTTCAGTACCTTCGCATTGATCAATTTTACACCTCCCCTGAAAATTTCATGACCCTGACCCAAATGACCTTTGACCTGTGACCTCTTTTCCGTGACCATGTTTGGCCGAAATCGCGATTCGGCGTATGTCGGCTCGCATTAGCCGCGCGTTTGCAAGCTTTTCGTGGTTTCAAACGTTCAAACATGTGATTTGATGTTGCTCCCATACATTAGGGTGGGTGTCAAGGTCACCTGAAGGTCAGGTCAGGTCATTGACCTTTGGTGACCTCGGGTGACCTCGGTTCACTTTTTCGAGTTTTACATGTTTCTAGGCTAGTTTTTGGAGCTGAATTCGAATTTAGCAACCATTTGAACATTTACGAAGTAGTTTTGGTGCCTTCGTAACATGTTACGAAGCTGTCAGAGGCGGCTGACATGTATTACGAATACCCGTCACAGCCCCTACCGGTTGACCTGACCTGACCTGACCCGACCTGGTCTAAATACCTAAAGACATCATCTCTGATCAAAACTAACACGATATTCGTGATCAGCACCCCGGAAAACCACATAACAGCCACACTTTACGACTTTCTAACAGGTCCCGATTTTCCCGGTTTTCGGGTCATTGACCTGACCTGGAAGGTCACCCGATGACCTAGGACCTTAAAATTGGGTATCATCGGCTTCCTCTCGTGACGGGCAACACGCTCGTTTTTTCCGCGAAGCTCTAGCTCGATCAGGGGCCAAACGCGAGGGGGGGTCGTACCAACCCCCCCCCCCCCCTTGTGCCGTCGAAGGACGCAAAATGGCCTGTGCCGGCGAGGGTTAACCCGCGCCCAGTAGGGGGGGGGGGCCGAAACGGACCCCCCCGTCCTTTTCCGTCGTTATCTCCTAAACGGCTAGAGATATCGCCACCAATCTTTCAGGACCCCTACGGGCATCAATTTTACACATTGTGACCAAAAAATTTTTCCCAGAGGCTATGATAGGTTGGCCACAAATGACGTGAGAATGACGTCATGCTCTGCCATTTTCGACCGAAAAAAGACCTTCGCGAGAAGAGCTGTGAGGCCTACAACTTTGAAGACACAGAAAAATGAGCAAGACATAAAAGGTGTAGGTAGAATTGACAAGGCTACAAAACTGCTATCTCGGATTTTTGAACTTTTTGAGTTTTGACCCCCAAAAATAAAAAAGCAATTTTTTGGATAAATTAGCCAAAAAATCCCAAACGTTTTTTAGTTAAAAAAAACAGGAATATATGTGATAATACCTACCGTGTTCTATCTACATACCAAATTGCAGATCGATATCTTGTTTTTTAGCCAAGTTATAGCGAAAAAAAACTGTTCAAAAATGATGACGTTAAATTTTCAAACTCATTTTTTGGCAATTCTAGACCACGTTGGGAAAAACAAAGACCATCATTGGACTCCCCGTGAAGAGCTGCATCGAATCGATACCCATTTTATGCAAAAATATCAACTTTGAAATTTGACCTAATTTGACCTGACCTTGACCTGACCTTCGCCAAAACGTGACCTAAGCTGGCCCCAAAGGCTGCCTGACCCACATAATCGCATTTGTCATGTAAAATGGACCATAACACATGTATCACACGACACTTTCATATTGTGACCCCCCAGTGACCTGACCTCTGTGACCTGACCTGGTGTCAGTGACCTCAGGTTACAGGTAGCGACTAGCGAAGTATGTGTTTGACGAACAATGTATCATCGATAGTTTTCAATAACTTACAAAATTTAATCGATTTCACAACAAATTTCTTGAAATGCCTGTGAACGGTGAAAATCCGACCTTTGACCTGACCTGTGACGTCATCGGTTTGACCTAGGTTTATAAAATGTGGTGACAAGGTAGTTCCCCGGTGGGGCTATCGAACGCTGTTTGAATTTTGAAAATTGGCCGGTAAAATTCCGAGATCTTAAGGGAGGCCCAAACGCCCCCCCCCCCCCCTACGGGTGGTAGGGTCCGCCGGTAGCCCTACGGGGCGCGGGTTCAAGGAAGGGAGGGGGACGAACACACCTTTTGCGGTTGTTCGCAACTATCTAAAAAATAGCGGCGCGGAGTACCTCCGTTTTTGACAAACCTTATTACATCATTTTTGCATTTTATGAAAATTACAAACCAATATCTCTCAAGGTTAGATGATAGATCACCAGTTTAGGTCAAGTGACCTCACCTAGAAATAAGTTACAATGCTAGTGCCATAGCTATTCGCTACACACCGAGTAACAGATCACTTTGAAACTTTCAGCAATGCATAATGGCAACAGCACGTATAAAATCATATCACATAATTTTGATATCGTTGACATAAGATCAGGTCAGTTTTGCAACCTCTCCATTATAAATCAATGGAATAACATTTAAATGCGCCTCTTTTGGACGAAAGTCGTTCTGAACACTCTCAAACATTCAGGTCAAACAACAAGTAAACACGACACACTGAATCGAAAAATTGCGCCTGTGACCCCTCTTTGTGCCTCTGGGTCATCTCATGTCATAAAAGTTTCCCAGCAGATGTTTTAAACAATAACTTTTGATAGAGATAGGTATGCTATAGCGATGAAAACACCTCAGATGCATGTTCAGCTCGACGCTACGGAACGACTGATATGCAATATGACGTTTTCCAGTCCTGAGATCAAATTTTCAAAATGACCTTTCAATGCATATAATTCCTTCGACGCATCTTGACGAGAGGAACACGACGCTGGCAAGAGAAATGTCGGGACTTTCTTCAGTCAAATGCTAGTACCGAAAAAAAAACATTTTCCGTAAAAACCGCTATTTTTAATCCGTGCATGAGTGGGATATTTTCCAAACTACTGGACCGATCGTCAAAATTCAAACAGCGCCTGATAGTCATGGAAAAACTGTTGATAGAAACCTAATTTCATTGACTTAGAGGTCACCGATGACGTCAAAGGTCAGGTCAAAGTAAATATTATCAGCTTTTTGGCGTATAACTTGGCCATTATGAAGATAGTATATATATTTTTCATATAAGTATATTTTTCAAAATTTTAAAAATTTGAAAATCCTAGATAGCAGTTTGATAGCCACGTTTATTGTGAGTCCACTCATGCAAAGAAATAAGATTTATTATAGCTTAAAAACTGAGCCCTTGACAGCGATTACCGTAAGTTTTGCATAAAAATCGGCCGACATGACGTCACTCTGACGTCATTTTCGGCCGACTCATGGCAGCTAAAAAGTGGAAATTTAAACCAATGATGTCAAATTTATGCCGCTGAAGGTACGTACCTTATCCCGCGCCCCGCTGGGCTATTCAGCCATACGCGCCCTGCTGGGGGGGGGGGGGGGGCAGATTCTGCCCCCTGTCTAATTTCCGAACCGATGGTCGTAGAAAGACGAGGAAAACGGCAATCGAAAGCTCTCAACAAGGCGGATCTTAAGAGCCCAATTTTTTTTTGCTTAAGTAGGTCAGAGGTCAGGTCAAGGTCAGGTCAAGGGTACAAAATGCAAGTTTCTACAGTATCGGCCTTGCACCGTAGTTGCCAAAGAATGGAATAAGGCTGATTGCCCAAAACGTGTTCTTAGACTACCCAGACAATATTCGTTGCATACAATGTCATTCAAAGGTCAAGGTCAAGGTCAGGTCAGGTCAGGTCACCAAAAACAAAATATAGAAAAGGGCATGTGCGACACATGTTTTATGGGTCATTTTACTCATAGAATTCAATAGGCACACTCAATAAGTGATATGGACCACCTCTGAATGAATTTCAGGTCGAGGTCAGGTCAAGGTCAGGTCAAGTGAGGTCAAATTTTGAAGTTGGTTGCTAAGGCCTAAAAAGGTGTCTATCTGATGCAGTTTTTCACGGCGAATCGAATGGTGCTATTTTTGTTTCCGTACGAGGTCTAGAACTTCTTAAAAAATCATTTTTCAAAATTTTTGTGTGTCGTGACGTCATAAAATTTTGAATAACTCCCACATTTTCGAACCGATTCTTCTAAAAATTGGTATGTAGGTGCATATAGACTACTTCTCTGAAATATATTCCGTTTTTTTCGATACACTCAAAATTTTGGATTTTATAATTATTTTCCCAAAAAAGTCAGTTTTTGAAAAAATTTGGGCCAAAATCCAAAATTTTCAAAGAACCGAGATAGCCATTTGATAGACAAAGTAGAATCACGTATAACCTTTTTTGTTACGTCTTGATTCCTTTAAAAATGAAGATGTTAGCAGCGTTTGAAATTTTGCCGTTTTTTAGGCGAAAATGGCGAACATGACGTCACTAAAACGTCAATTTCTCAAAAAATTTCCGACGGATTTCGCTTAAATTTTCAGGGAACGTGTCAAATTGATGTATGATAAGGTACCGAAAGTTTGACGTCGCTGGCGTAACGCGTTTAGAAGTTATTGGCGAAAAACGGGAGGGGGGGCAGATTCTGCCCCCCCCCCCAGCGGGGCGCGGGTTAACCCTCGCCCGCACATGCCATTTTCCCATCCTAGAACGCACATGGGGGGGGGGGGGGGGGTGGTTGCCACCCCCCCGCGCCATTTCGTTCCTGTTGGAGATAGAGCTTAGCAGTAAAGACCAAAAAGATTCTTTGGGAAGAGACGAATCCAATGATACCCAGTTTTACCTTCTCAGGTCAGTCATTGACCTTCCAGGTCAGGTCAAACTAAAAAATGTTGCTGTTTTGGGTCACCGTTGGATATCAAGTGCGCTGCTTATCAAATACCGATGACGATGCTGTTTTCTGGTGCCAAGCCAGCTAGAACCTCTTTGTCACACTATCCGACCAGAATTTTGCTGCTGAGGTCATTTCAGGTCAAGTTAGGTCAAGGTCAACTATATGTGTTTGTATGTCTGTGTGTGTCTGTGTGTATACTGATGTGTGAATCGATTGTTTTTGGGTCCATATCACATGAAATCATGATCTGAGAAGCTTTTACCAAAAATGCAGTCAAAAAACTTCACAAAAAGTAAATTCAGCTTGCCTAAAACGCAATTATCTTAGATGACCTAGGCTGACCTTGACCCTGACCTTGACCCCTGTACATCGTCGAACAACATGTTCCATGATAGGTGGGAGGTAAGACTGGCAAAAAAGGCCGAAATCAGGGTGTCAAAAGCTCACAAGGCCCATGGCAAACGCAAGATGTTGAGAATTGGCCATTTGGGTCATGACATGACCTGAAAAACAAGGTCATATCTCCGAAACCAAAAATCACAGAAACTTTAAATTTTCAGTGGACATCAAGAAAGGATAGACGAGCAGCTATACGAAAAATCAGCCTTCTAGCTCTAAAAATGTTGAGTGCAGAGCAGAAAGACTGCCTCCCATGTGCGGGCGAGGGTTAAGTTTCGTGTTGATGCGTTAAACGGTTTGGAAGATATTGCCGAAAAACGGGAGGGGGGCTCTGTAGAGCCTCCCCCTTTAGTCATGCGCAGATTAAAGTTCATGCCCTCTGTAGCTAAACAATTGATCCTAGATCAAATCTGAGGAGTTGTTAGTGAAATATCGTTAAAAAGAGTTATCGAATGCGCTTTATGGGCGCGGGTTAATTTCAGTCCTATCGGCCACCGGGAATCCCGCGTTTGATGTTTAGAATCCGGTTTTATGGGCAATGAGAAAGTTTGTTACGTTATTAGATGGCAGATAGCAGATAGGTGCTGAAAACATCCAAAGATGAAAAACAAATTTAACGTGACAGAAGACTGCAGACAGTGCAGAGGTACAAATAAAGCAAAAGCGTCCATTCATATCTAAGGTATTCATAACCAACCACAAAAGCAAAAACAGAGCCGCGTTTTATATGAGTACTCGTATAGGTATGACAATAGTCAATAATTCAAGTTTCCACGTGTTCGGATCTGATATCGCATCACCCAGAGCAGGATACAAATCAGCTCATTCGAAGAAGCGGCATCGAGGAAAGTGCCAGCCCACAGCTCGCAAGTAGCAGGGGCAGTCTGGTACCCCAAGGTTACGTGACTCACTCTCATAGCGTGAAAGGACGACACTGGATACAGCGCAAGACAGATGACAGCAGACCAACATCAAACCCTGGAGGAAACTAACCTGTCAGCTACGTTCCAGCCGCGACCTCATCTCCGTCAGCTCTCCGCCGCCGTTCCCAAAATCACGTGTGCGTCCTGTCGCTCCCCGACCGGGCGGCGGCGCCCGACCTCTCGACGCCGGACCAAGGCCACGACTGGACCGCCGCAGCAAGACCGGCCGCCCAGAGGGGTGGAACGGTCGGCGAATGGAGCCAGCTGGCGGTCCGCCGTCCAGTGCGGCCGCTGAGCAGCTGCCCGGACCGGTGGAGCCTGCCTCCCGTGTGGGGACTGGCGAGACATCTGACGGCCAAACGGAAACTGCTAGTTTACGGGTACTGACATGGCGCTGCAGAAGCCGCTGATCTGTCGCGAGCGATTCTAACATCGGAATCCTTTATCCATTAGCATATTCGTTGGAGGTGAGCTATGGCTAGTTTCACCGTTCCGTGCTTCTATCCTCAGGATACTGAAATCCTTCTCCTCCACGCCGCAACCCCCCTCCGGCCTGGACAGGCAACTTTATCTGATGCGGGCTGCTCCCTTGGAGCGGCACCGCTGCTCCCGAGGGAGCGCACCCCGTAGCCGGGTGCAGTGAGTGCCTTGGGGCTGGGTGGCCTGTCCTCTGGACGGGCTCAGCCCCGGCGACTCACTAGGGTGCCTGCCCAGACCAATGTCTCCCCCTATATCCTATCATCCTCCCGGCTCTGAAATGGTCTCATTGGACCGAAAGGGCCTAACCCAAAAAAATGGCTAGTTTGAGCATAATTATAAATATTATGATGTTAAAAATTACATTAAGCCCATGATACAATGAAATGATAGTGAAATAAGTCCAAAAAGTATTATACCTAAGTAGGTAGGTACATGGGTGGAGAATGTCTGAAAAAGTTACCCCGGCCGGCGACCGAAAGTCAGAAAGACGATATGCTCCAATGCCTATTTGTCAACGGCAATCAACAAACCCATATCCTGATCCTGTGACATGTCTGCAGTTTTTATGCTTTTTAGGGAAGACTGCTGCTCGCAGGTGCGAAAAATTTCGTAATTTTAACAACAATTTTGCATCACGCCTTAAAAGTTCGGCCGCAGGTCACCTAAGTGTCAGGTCATCAGGTCAAATTTGCTGCATAATAGTGCTAAAAACTGCGATCAGGCCCTTTGCAAAGCTTATTTCGTGGAAAGTTGCAACCTTCCCACACAAAAATGTCAAATTTGACCGTTTTGGCCCTCTAATTGATTTAAGCATGCACCTGAAATATTATTCGCGACCGTGTTATCGAATGTTTTGCTTGCAGTGTTCTAGCTCCGTTATGGTCATGAACTGTGAGAAAGTTGTCGGAGCAAGAGTGGAAAAGTTACCCCACTGAAAGTTACCCCGGCCACGGCCGGGGTGGCCGGGGCAGGTTCTCCACCCATGGGTAGGTAGGTATTAGGTATATAAGTAGGTATAATATTTTTTTGACTTTTTCACTATCATTTCATTGTATCATGAGCATAAGGTCATTTTCTTAAATCATAATATTCATTAGAATATTCATAACTCAGCTGTCAGCCAAACGCTGATGGGGTCCGTTTCCACACCCAGTCTATGTAATTCCAGAACGGATAGTCGTAGAAAGATGGTAAGAGGCAATCGAAAGCTTCGGCTCACGCCCGGCTGGAGTATTCCGCCGAACGGCGCCCTGCTGGGAGGGCGGGGGGCCAGACTCTGCCCCCCCTGGTACTGAAAGTTTGACGTTTGAAGTTTGACGCTTAACCCTATTCCTGGCGGGCTCCGCCGGGACAAGAAACTGGCGGGGGGGGGGGCCGATTCGGCCCCCCCCTGAGATCTCGAGAACGAAGCAAGATAGCGACAAGCGGTAAACGGCATCGGATACGCACGGCCAAGATCTACAATTTTTACTAAGGTCATTTTCAGGTCAGGTCAAAGATGACGTCACAGGGGTCGAAAAAGTCAAAATGGCGGCACTAGATATGGAGAGAGTTTTTCTCGAATAACTTTCGAATTAGTCAAGATAGGAACGAACTAAGGGCATCATCGTGATCCTCTCGTCAATCCGCATCGAATGATATATATGTTGACCTCGAAAGGTCAAGGTCAAAGGTTGACCTCAGGTCACGTGACCTCGAGGTCATCATGTATATCATTCGATGCGTCTTGACGAGCTGAACACAATGAGACCATCCACGCGTCTGTATCTTGTTCCTGTACGGAGTTATTGGCCAAAAACCTTTGGTGACCTTTGATGACGTCACATGACCTCACAGCTGCCCAACAGCAAAACAGACCTCAAGGTAGTGAAGGTTGATCGTATATGAAGTCATGTATGGTATATGGGGCCATTCCGACCCGTTTTAGTGGTAAAAACAGGGAGTTGATTTTTCCCCCATTGACTTATAATGGGGAGGTCGCGAAATTGACCTGACCTTAGGTCACCGATATCAAAATTCCGAGATATACAAATTGCACATACTGGTACCCTAACTAAACCCTGAAGAGAAGAAATTGATCGGTCAAAAACTCTAGCTCTGGCGTGATTGCAAACTTTTCTGAGGTAGCGTCACCAAACCGCCTCTGGTGACCTGACCTGAGGTCAGATCAACTCAAAATTTTCAGACATGCTGCGTAGAAGCCTTTTAAGAAAAGTCAGAAAATTTGAGCTTCCTAGCTCAACGCGTTTGGGAGATATAACCAAAAAACCTCAGGGGGGGCTCCTGAGGCCCCCCCGCCAGGAATAGGGTTAACCCTAGAACGCCTAGGGGGGGGGGGTTGTATCAACCCCCCCCCCCGAGGTTTTTCTTAGCTACACGCCGAACCGTTTCAGATAGCCTGCTCAAATTTTCAGTACCCTTTGGGGCATCCTTTGCGCAACTTTTGGTTTTTTTTTGTCAAGGTCATGTCAGGTCACGGAGTTATGACGTCATAAAGGGAACAACCTCCGGCCAGATTTACGCTAAATTGGAGATTGCTTCACATTGGTATAAATGCCGACTGACCTGACGCACTGATGGATTGTTTTATAGAATCACAACTGGCTGATTTGACATTGGCACAATGTCCGTTGACATTTTGAAGGTCACTAAAGGTCAAGGTAAGGTCATTGACCTCGGTTGACCTGTAATGACTTCTTGCACTTGTATGCCATTTCGGGGTATTTTGATGCCCTGAATTCGAATTTGCTATCCATTTCAGGCATCGTCGGTTGTTTCTTGTAGTTCATTTTGGGTCAGGGTCAGGTCAGTGACGTCACACGCCTGACGTGACCCAATGCACAAATGACCTTGCAGACTTCCGATGCTCCCAACGCATCATTTTTAAAGTTATGAAATCGAAATACACACCAAACGATAGAGAATTGATCAAGGATCACGTTAGTGAAGATTTCAAGTCGATATCTCTTACCGTTTTGCCGCAATCGGCGCGGAAATCTGAAAAAGTTAAATTTTTCCGAAAATTTGACCTTTGACCGGTCATAAGTAGGTCAAATGTTGACCTAGGACCAAAAAATATACCACCAATCACGAGATCTCGTTGAGAGCAATCCGTTGGTTTTTTCCGCTAAGCTCTACGACCTTCCGTTTCGAAACGCCAGGGGGGGGGGGGGTCGTAACAACCCCCCCCCTGGTCGTTCGTGTTATGAGAAATGGCCTGGTCGTGCGAGGGTTAATGTCCTGGGTCAATGTTGGCTTTCCAGGCCAGGTCAATGACTCACATGTGTTGAATAAATCGGGAAGTGCTAGAGTGTCAAAAAGTGAGATTATCCAGGGCCATTTTGTGGTGCTGATTTTTTTTTTTATGATAGATACCTAATACCTACATTTTGAAATTTTGAGCTAGTTCCTAACAGGTGGCCTGTGTTTTCCGTGCCGGCTGGGGGTTGGGGGCGTTTCCACGTCCCCTCTAACTCGGCTCTTGACTCTTGAGTCACGTAGCGACACGCGGCAATCGAAAGAGCGTCAAAAATAAACACGGAAACACTTCGATCATTTTTTATGTCAGGTCAAAGGTCAGGTCACCAGAGGTCATCAAAGGTCAAATTTAGTCCATTTCAATAATTTTGGAGACTGACAATGGCTAACTCGGGAACCAATTCGCTACAGCGCCGCAGATTCGATAGCGCATTCGATAGTCCTTTTACAGACCTTTCTGAGCATTCATCTCAGAGTTGACCTCAGGTCAACGGCCTCCAGAGGGCAAAAACTGTAAAAATAGCCGTTTTCACGATAAATGTTGTTCGGCAACAACTTTTGACTGAAGAGAGCCGGACATTGTTTTTGACAGTGTCGTGTTCCTCTCCCACCTTAACATAAGATTTGAGTTGAGATAGCCAAAATGGGGTCCCTGGCTCACAATTACCGGTTTCGGCACTTTCAACATCGAGAAATGCCTTAAATCGGAAATATTGAATTTCAAAATTGCAGCATTTTGATTCAGAGGGGCTAATGCATAGGAATACCCCTCTGAATGTGTGACGTCAGCACAGATATCTAACGATTTTTAAATGTTTGACTAAAACGTTTTGTAGCACGCGGTGGTATATGCTGCTTAGCGCGCAACAAATGCTGCACTTTCAAATAAAGTCGCCAGGAACAGCGGAGATCCCAAAAAGTAAACAAAAGTAAAAGTCTAATATCTTGAAAACCGGTGAATATTTTTCGATGAAATTTGGTAGATATTCGTTTTTGCTCTTTCTGAACCGAGCGACATCACTTTCATGCCAATTCATTAACTTTTTTGAAGGTGGGAGGGTCCCTTTAACTTGAAAGGTTATTTTGAAAATTTGACCGTAAAGGGTCATCTTGCATATCAGTTGATCCGTATCGTCGAACTGAACACATCTGACGTGTTTTCATCGCTCTAGCACGGTGGGGCGACTGCCCCACCAACCTTGCTTTTTGCTAATGCGCGTTCTGCCCCACCAACTTAACCCGCGCCCCACTGGAGTCTGCGTACACGCCCTACTGGGGGGGGGGGGGGCTCTTCATAGCCCCCCTCCTTACTCCGAAACTACTGGGCCGATCGTCAAAATTCAAACGGCGTCTGATAGCCCCGGAACAACTGTCGAGAAAACCTAATTTTATTGACCTCGAGGTCACCGATGACGTCACAGGTCAGGTCAAAGTACAAATTATTAGCATTTTGGCTTGTTCACATTTTGGGCTCTGGCCGCCGTCTTACAAGTCAGATCAGGCTCATTTTTGGCTTACACACTCGTGAACAGATGTTTTAGATACGCTGAGGGTACCAAACTTGTACTTTGATTTTCAGGTCAGGGTCA